GAGACGAAAGTAATGCCCGGTTCAGTCATTGTCTAACAGTCAATGGAGAACAATTTGAACATTTATTGTAAATTTTCGTTCGTTTGTTTGTTTTTGGAAGTGTATCACATTAATTGCATAACTACATAATTCCATTTAATTTGTTTATTACATTCAGTAACGTATTACTTTCCATAAACAATTTTCATATTTTTTTTGCATTTTTGCCCACCCTGTACCAATTTGAAGCAACATATTATACATTTTTGGAATCAGCTCAGCAAAGGCAATTTGGAAATTGAAAAAAAAAGGGGGGGTTCCATTTGAAAAAAATGGTGATGACGTCATTACACGAAAGTGGTTCACCCTGTATATTAGATTATGATTTGAAACAATAGTAAATTGAAATCAAAAATCGACCTGTTTTGGGAATTCCTAATTTTATTGTTCATTTAGCCAATAATGAATTTATGCGTTACTTTATGGACGCACTGTATAGCTAGTTATATAATATATTAAAAATTATTAAACTTTTAACAGTTATTTCGTTTATAATTTATAGCAGAAAAATATAGATATTTCGGATATTCCATACAGGAATGAATGAAACTATAGATACGAACGTATATTGCAACAACTATGAAAAAAATTAATAAATAACTTAACCACATTTACACATCACCACAGAGGTATAGGTTCTGGCACGTTTTTTTACAGTGGTTTCTCCAATAGGCCTAATCCACGTAATTAAGATTAATCTTTTTTTTGTAGGGAGTGCGTGTTAAATTGAATAGAAGGTTCTATAGATATAGAAAGCACAAAAATATATACCATGCCCGGTGGTGTATATAACTTAATGCTTGTAGCAGATATAAAAATGTGAAGACGGATGAGTACAGTAACCAAATAGATAAAAGAGGTAAAAACTACCATAAACAAGTGATATTAAAAGGCAGAACAGATCTGATACACATTAGATAGAGGTTGATATTTAAGACATGTACAAATAAAACGGGTATCGAGTGTTTCTATATAAAGAAATGTTTTGAAACAAAAGAAGTCATTTAAGAATTTTTAGGAACCGTTATTTTAAATCACCTCAGGACCAATGTTCAACTCTTCGGGCAGAACCCTTTGCACACAATCGTCAATACAATTTAAAAGTTTGGTTGAAGGAAATTTTATATTTTGCTGATGTCTAGCATACCCTAAAAACAATACAAAAAAGGACAATGACGCTGACAGGGGCTCTGGTATACAAAAAGTCCTCATCCTTTCAGTGAACTACTTAAAAAACGGTCGTCGAGCTAAACCGAAGAAATTCTCCTCATCTTACTAAGCTTCTAAGAAAAAAAGGTGGTAAGGCTGAACGAAAGAAAATCTTCCCCTTTTTCTTACCGAGCTTCTAAAAAAAAAGGTCCTTGGGCTGAACGAAAGAAAATCTTCCTCTTTGTCTTACCGAGCTTCTAAAAAAAAGGTCCTTGGGCTGAACGAAAGAAAATCTTCCTCTTTGTCTTACCGAGCTTCTAAAAGAAAAGGTCCTCGGGCTGAACGAAAGAAAATCTTCCTCTTTGTCTTACCGAGCTTCTAAAAAAAAGGTCCTCAACTTATGTGCGCTGTTACTCATACTCAAAAAAAAACGACATCTGTCATATAAAAAGAGGGCATTTGCCGTAAAAAGGACATTCTAAGCTTTAAAAAGTCACAAGGACATTTTGCTGTTCAAAAAAGGACAACCATAACTGTGAAGTACCTGACCATACCAAATAGGTACCCAGTATTTAAATTATCTAATAAAATGGATAATTATTAACATTATTGTCCCGTGAATAAAAATTTGTCACTTATAATGAAAAATGATGTGGTATACCGATATATTTGGTAGGTAATTATAAATCAGCATTTATGTTTCAAAATCTTATGGTTACATGCATAATTTAACTTACTCAAAAGTCTCTAAAGAAATGCAAGGACTTGTTTTAATAATTTCAAAACATAATTATTTTTGGTGGTTGGCTGCATGGCTCACCCTGTATGAAAAGTACAAATAGCGAAATCTTTTAACCTCAAAATTGTTAACGGGTAGATATTAGGATAATGAATTAATTTATCTTTGGCGCAATTGTAGAATTATCGAGTGTTTGCAAAAATATATTGTGATTTATTTGTGAATCACCCTGTAACAGTATATATTTTACAATGTCCTTTTTTATAAACATCTGACCAAAAGTTATATTAAACTTTTATATACATTAAGTCAATCTATCTTTTCAGTTTGAAGAAAAAATAACTAAAATCAGCAATTCTCCACTTTAACGCCCTGTATCTCGAAAACTAGTCATAGTATCGAATTTAAAATTCATACTTCCTAAAACGACATTAAAATTATTATAAATTAAGAAAATGGTTACATTTGATGAAGGAAATTTTAGAATACTGTTCGTGATTTTTGTACTTTTCATAATATAGAATTTTTTCCAACAAATAAATCACCTTGTATATTTTGAAGCTTAAAGGTAGATATAGTTTAGTGATATTACCTTTCCAAAAATTCAACTCATAAGTACAGGGTTTTGAATTATTCGTTAAAAAAATAATTTTATGTTGTGGTTCTCTCTATAAAATATAAGAAATGTGTAGTGTGCAATATTTTGTCTTTAAAATACCATATTGAGTAGTATTTTTTGAAAATATGCTTCTCTGACCGCACAGTAGAATTAGTGTGATTTTACAAAAAATACCGTCATACATTTGTGAATCACCCTCTAATAATACATATTTTTAAATGTACGTATGTACTAATGTGTTACTAAAACTCATAGTAAACGTTTGTATGAATCAGAAATTCAATCTAGCTCGTAGGTTTGCAAATAAAAATTCCCAAAAACTGAGCAATTTTCAACTTTAACATCCCGTATATCGAAAACTAGTAATAGGATTGAGTTGGGCCCATTGACACTTTTAGTTACTAGGTTGACTAAAACAACATACCAAAGTTTCAGAAAATTTGACGGGTCGCCACTTTGCATAAGAAAAGTGCGGGGTCCTTTAGAGATTATTATTTTTATTAATATTATTATTTCCCAAAAATTAATTTCTTTGAATACATTCACAGCGACGATACCAAAGAAATTATTTAAATTATTAAATATAAACCAAAGATGATCGTGTAATCCGTATATTGTAAGGGAACGGCCCAATTATTTCGAAATCGATAAACAGAATTTTATTATTAAATTTTAGAGTTTTCTGCAACCTTCTCATTTTGTTTCAGTGATATTACATTTTCTGTTTGTTTACATTCTATTTTATGCTGCGAAATTTGTTTCTAAATCACCAATTGCCCAAAAATAGAAAATAACAACTGTCATAAAGAAAAGCAAAATAGAACAATTTTTATGTGAAGGCTACGTATTGTAACAGGGATCCTTACCGGGCACTGCCGACTAAAAGGACAACTAAGTAAACTGAGAGTAGTAGAGGATAGTGAGTGCAGATTCTGTGAGGAGGAGGACGAAACCTCCATTCACATGCTAACTGAATGTGTAGCACTCCAGAATCCAAGGGCACTATATCTAGGAGGATATCAAATAGAAGAGGGAGACTTACCTAACTTGAAGCCACTTCAAATCCTACACTTCCTTGAGAAAATAGGATTGGAAGGGTCGCTATAGGCATTGAGACATTTCCTTAGTGCAGTGGCGACAGAAGGGGGCACAATAGATCTTTTAGGTCGCAGTGTATTAACACCCCATTATCAACATAACATAACATGTGAAGGTCGATGACGATCAACACAAGACGATATGTAAAGGGGCAAATTTAAATTATCCAATAAAAACCGTTTAATAAATTAGCAGAAATGCCAACCTGTCTAAAATAAATAAATAAATAAAAACTATTAGACTCCGTAGCTAGCAGTTAAATTCGTGATGATAAACACCTGCCCTGGGCCAGTCATCTCAAAATAATTCAGAAAATTGGCTAGATTTTCATGATTCTTTTGATTCAATGATCATACAGAATAACAAACTAGTTTCTTTCAAAAGATTTATTTTCTGAAGACGTGCCTTTCAAGTCCTGCTGAAAGGGTTATTAATTCAATTCAAATTTCTGCTGTCAATTTTACAATAGCGCGGCAGCTTCTTTGTGATAGATTTGCCAACGATCCGCTATTAGTTCATAATAACATAAAGAAAAATTTTTAATTTAAAAGTAATATCAAGTGAAAACTCTAACAGCCGTATGCATAGTCGATCGCCAGCGACTCGCCAGAGATTCATTTCGGCGTATCGCCAGCGATTCGCTGGCGATCCGCCGGCGAAAGCCCAAAAAGCTGGCGACTCGCCGGAGATTGTCACCGAAATGTCATTTCACGCAAGTTTTCATGTTCTTTTATAGGGAAAAATTTAATATTCGTTCATTATTTTTTGAGTTTTAAGAAACGAATCATGAATACAATGCGAGAGATACCGGTGATAATCCCTATAAAAGAAAATAAAAACTTGCGTGAAATGACATTCCGGTGACAATCTCCGGCGAGTCGCCAGCTTTTTGGGCTTTCGCCGGCAGATCGCCAGCGAATCGCTGGCGATACGCCGAAATGAATCTCTGGCGAGTCGCTGGCGATCGACTATGCATACGGCTGTAAGTATATTCAACTATATATAGTTGACAATCTAACCAGTAACCTTAGGTCGCTCGACTTTTTAGGAGAGCCAATGAAAAACTAGAATTCAATTTTAATATTCATTGTTATTGAGAGGCTACATTCTGACAGTAAAAGATTCTTGCCGTCCGTCTTCTATCCCACAATAGACGGACTCTTCTATTCCATGTTTGCGAGCGGCAGCTACCACTGATTTAATGAAGGTATTACATAGTATACTCACTTTACGGTACATCTCATGGAACAATAATGTCTGTAAATTAACAAATAGAGTAATATTAATATTTTTCCATTAGCCTATTAAATTTATTTTATTTATATTTTTTTTTTAACTAATAAATTTGTTTTTTAGATGGTAACAACAATTTGGGCATCAATAACTAGAAAAAAAAGAAACAATGGCGAAATTACAAACAGGCTATCAAGAGTCTTAACCTTAATAGATTTAGTCGGCATGGGAACTGGAGCTACCCTTGGTTTAGGAGTATATGTACTTGCTGGATCCGTTGCAAAAAATTATGCAGGTCCCGCTACGGCTTTATCTTTTGTTTTAGCAGCTATAATATCGTTATTTGGAGGTAAATTATACTTTTTAACCGACTTCAAAAAAGGAGGAGGTTCTCAATTCGTCGCAATATTTTTTTTTTATGTATGTTCAGCGATAATTCTTTAACACGGTGTCCGATTTCAATCATTCTTATTTTGTTAGAAATGTGGTACTTCAGGGGTGGTTCTATATAAATTTGGTTCAAATCTAACAATTGGGTCCATGAGAAAATTCTCAAACTCTTCATTTTTTATGTATGTTCAGCGATAATGCTTTACCACCTTGTCCGATTTATATAATTCTTTTTTTGTTAGTAAGGGGGTACCTCAGGAGGGGTGGTCCCATATAAATTTGGTTAAGATGTGGTGATGGCATCTGCACTTTTTTAAAGTTGGTTTTTTAAATTTTTAATTTTTAATACTTGTAATTTATATAGGATTAACTTTAAGTTTCAAAATTAGGATATTTTTTAATTCTTTTTTTTACGTATTATTTATTTCTTTTAGGTTTTTGCTATGCAGAATTTGCTGCCAGAGTACCTAGGACAGGTTATGCTTACGCTTACTGTTATGCAGGAGTAGGAGAGCTAATAGCATTTTTAGTAGGCTGGAATTTATTATTAGGAGCTATGCTAGGTAAATAACATTTGTTAATTTTTTATGTTACAACTGATTTCTTTAAATTTGTTTTAGGAATTGCAAGCGTCGCAAGTGGTATGAGCAGTTATATTGACACTCTAGTTGATGGAAAGATTAAAATTACTTTAGCAGACTGTATGGCTATAAATATTCCTTATTTAACGAGCTCTCCAGATTTTTTAGCTTTAGGAATTATAGTTTTAATAACAAGTAAGTAACCCTAATAACAACAAACAACAGTCATTTTAAAATTGAATGTGATTTTTTGGAAAAATTTTAAAGCCTTAAAATAAAATAGAAGTTAATTATTCTTGAAAAAGACTATAATATAAGATTGTTACATTTTAACTTAAAACATCATCATCATAATCATCAATTTGACCTTTTGCTTAAGAGGGGTCAACCTTTTTATGGACTAGTTTGCCTTGTTATGCGCTATTTCAATCTTAATTCTCTTTATCCTCATCTAATTACACAGCTTTTTTAAGGCCCCCTAAGGACTATCATTGGCTCCTTACTCTTTAACATTTTTACCAACAATATTATGGATATAATTGATACGAGCTATCTTTTTGCTGACAATCTTGAGATTGTGGAGATAACTGGCCAAATTTTAATTATTATTATTTATGTATCTTTTTTGTTTTTTTTTTTTCGTAGAGATAAGGCTAATTAAATGATAAACTTATATAATAAATTCTAGTAAAATTAAACTAACAGTAGGGGAGACTGAGGAGGGTTGGGCCACTTTTTTTCAGAGACCTAATTTTCTGTTGTGTTTTAGTAATCGCATAAAGTTTTTTACATATTGATTAACTATTGGTTTTAATTTTTTAGCACAATAGCAAGATTATTTTAAAAATTGTTATTTAAGCACGAACTAATTGATTTAAGTACCACCTGCACTTGTCTCAAACCTCCTTTATGAAGGGAGGCTTGAGACAAGCAAAGGGAGGTTTGAGGCAAGAGTAGGGAGGCTTGAGACAAGAGTAGTAGGTAACGATAAAGTCACGAGTTAAAGCAAATTTATTAAAGACAGTTAACAAATTATTTAATCCTTTCCTGCAATAATAATAATTAACAAAAAAATATACATAGGTACTTGAAAAAAATAAAAGAATACAGCAGTCATAAAAATATTTGCCGAAAAAGCTAGAATAAATTTTCATATTTGAAAAAATAGACTGGAAAATAAAGGGACCTATGTGTTTTTGCTGTTTCTCCAGTAAAGGAGGGGTTTGCTAACTTAACCAGATCGTCCCTAGGTGCGCAACATTCATCGACAACATAGGGAAAAATAAATTTGTATCCTGGAAGCTTTAGTCTCATGCATATAAGTCGTAATCGTTGCCATTAATATGTATGACTTTAGGAACGTAATGTCGGAAAGTGTTTTTGGTAGGAAATCGTACAAGAACATAGTCATCCTTACAAATTTCTTGGTTCATAAAACTTTCTTCAGCATTTTCTTTTTCAATCTGTTCTCCAATATAGGTTAACTCATCAGAACTCGAAAAGTTAGATTGTTCAGATTCCTCCATGACTATTTCAATCTTATTTTGTTTAACAGGCACCTGTTTTTCATCTTCTGAAACCAATTTTTTTAATCTTTCCTTCCTTTCTTCCCTTTTTTTATTTTGCTCTTCCTTTTTCTTTTCTCTTTCCTCAAATTCTTTTTGTATTAGGTCTTTTTCGGGGGTGTTCGTTAAAATCCGTGTTTTCCCACATTTCCTTCCAGCTTTCTTTTTACGTGGAAGAGCTTTCGGAAATGGCCTTGTAACTTTAGGGCTTACAAATGCATTTGACATATTTTGAGAAGTACTAGGGACAGCTAAAAGTAAATTTTCTGTATCCTGTAAAGCTTTAGATGGATCTGGCCGGTCTGTAATTTCTGAACTAGTAAAATCACTATCTGAAAATACAGCTGGATTACATGGACAAATACCAGTATGTGAAAATCTACCTATTATATTAGCTGGCGCGGCGTAAAAACGCGAACGTAAGCACTTCCCACAAGTTCAGGTATTTCTTTTAAGGATGTCAGCTGTACAGGATTGTTGACCATTCAGTTATCTGCCGCTTCATTATAAAATCTTTTAAAAGGCCCGAAATCGTTGGTGTCCAAGTGCTGTAACTTATGGCTAGTATGAGGTGAAATGGAAAGTAGTATTATTCCATTTTCTTTACATATGTTAAGCCCTTTTGGGGAAATATGGCTTTCATGGTTGTCTAGTATCAGCAGACACTTGTGATTCTCGTTGACTTGGGAATACTTGATGAAGTGCAGTAAATATTTTTTAAAATTCTCGTGGGTCATCTAACCTGATAGATTAACAGCAGCATCGGCGCCAATGGGAAGTCCTCTTGTCATATAATCCTGAATCCTAACCATTAAAAAAATTAAAAATGGGGAACAGTGTTACCGGACGCACTTATAATGCATAAAACTGTTACCAGTGATCCTCTTTCACACGATGTTGCCTTTGACACCTGCTTCTGCCCTTTCTTTGCAATTATTTTTTGCTGCTTATGTGCTGTTGTAACTCCCGTTTTATCTGCATTATATATGCAATCAGGTTTAATATCTTCCCTTGTCATGATGGTCAAAAAATAGCTGCACAGTATATTTATTAAATGCAGTGGCACGTCCTACACTCGTGGCTTCTGGTATCCTAAGTGATAAGTTATCATGTCTTGACATAAAATCTCTTAGCCAATTACGCGTTGCTGCTCTATTTTTCTCCTAAGCTACTGAAATGTTTTTGTTATTTTCAGTTGTAAAGATGTAAGCAAACTTTCTTACTGATATTGGAGTAAGTCCATAATGTAAGTCAGCGCATTTGAGCAGATATTGAACTAGCAAATATTCTTCTTGATTAGTTAAAGTTTGCGAAGAATTAAAGTTTGCTTCAGACGATACAATTTTGTTTGATTTAAATTTATTTACCTATTTAGATTCATTCTATCAATATTATGTTTTTTGGCGACTGTGCGGATCTTACCATTAGTACAACATATTTTCCGTACTGCAGTTTCCAAAATTTCAGGATCAGTAGGCAGTCGGCCTTTTGATTTCTATTTAAAAGGCATCTGCAAAAAATTACTATTGTAGATGCTGCAGTGGAAATTTTAGCAGAAGAAGCTAAAGATTAATCTACGTTAGCCTATATTTTTTCACTTGGAAAAGAAAGAGAAAATACTGGAAACCAAGTACAGGTATTTTCTAACCATGATAGGGGGTTTGATTCATGTCTCAAACCTCCCATATAAAATATGTGCATCCCTCCCTTCGTACTAGTAGCCACAACAAATTACCATATTCAGGTTAAAACATAATCTAACAAATAATTTAATACATAAAAGTATTTTGAATTAGTATGTTATTCGTGTAATTCATCCATATATTTCCAAATATAATAATGTGAATAAAGAATCCTTATACTTACATTTTGTTGAAAAACTTACATTGTTTAGCCTCAAAAACAATTTTTCACTATAACTTTCGTAAACGACTTCGATTTGTTGTTGAATTTAGATAATGGGAAAGAAACAATGAATAAGCATCCACTAAAAGGAAAAGTAAATTTATTTAAGGATACGTTACCAATGCAATATTTATGGCTCAACCCTCCCCAGTCTTCCCTATAGTGGTAGGAAAAACTTTAGTACTAGGTTATAAACATTAGGCAAATTATTGAAAATATTATAATAAGGAAAATCAATCCTAACTTATACGGGGTGTTTCAAAATATAGACTAATTATTAAGGAAAGCCTAATATAATTTTCCTATAAACGCCTAAGTTTTCATTCTACAGAGTGATAAAGTGAATTTCATAAATACATAATTTTTTAAATATCTTCCCTCATGGTAAAAATTTTAACTTAAAAATATATAAATATTTTTTAATTGCCATTATTAGTCAAAAAATTTTATTTCGATAAATTACGATAACCCATTCTCGAGGAATCGAGGGATAAGAAAACAATTTTAATCCAAACTTTATGAAAACCCTATATTTAATAAAAATTAAGAATAATAATTGTTGCTCACGTAATTTGTTCCAAAACAGGGGCTTTTGATTGATATCTGTAGAACATTCCTTTTCCGGGAGTTTTCACTTTTATTAGAAGATCCATTAACTAATGGGACCAATATCTTATGAACTCAATGTTACCAATAATTAATGAACCTTTTAATATTGATTATGAAATCGGCCCTTGATAAAAATTTGCATTTTTGGAATTTCATAATGTACATAGTTTTCATGAAAGAAAGATAAAAGAAAAATTGAAAAAGCTGATAATTAAAGAATAGAAAAAATTATTCTATAGTGCGAGACACACCAAGAGAATGCAGTTTGAAATCTTATAAAGTGCGCTGTTACCAGCTGTTGCCAGCTGTTGCTTTGCTGGGATGGGCCTAAAAAATAGGTCCGGTCTCAGACAAATTTCGACACGGGTTTAAATTTTATCTTAAATTTTGTATGTTCAATAATAAATAATAAACAATGAATTTCAAAATAACAATTTTATAATAAACAAATTTTACGCAATAGATTCGTCAATCGTCGAGGTCTGAAATCTTACTTTCAGAACTGTCGCCAAAATTTATTTTTATAATGATTTAATCAACGTTATCTTGGAGATTATCAGCGACCCACATTTCTTTTTCCGTTTTTTCTCTGACATTTGAACGTAATTACGCCAATTTGACTCAGTGGCATAACCAAATGCTTTATCTATCAATGAATTAACATCCTGTGTTTTGAAATCAAAGTTGTTCATAGCAATATAGATAGCGTTTTACCTGATTCCGTATCATTCGATCGGGTTAAGCTCGCAATAATACAGTGGTAAGCGTAAAACAATTATCCATAATTTTGCAACTATGTCCTCAATCTTATATGTGTTGTATTTCTTTGTTTATACATTGGCAACTTCATTTTAAATAGGAGTCGTCAAAGAAAATGTTTTTTTTTTCAGACAGTATTTTATTTCGGGTTTGTTCCAGAGGTAGCTGGAAGCGTTATCCATAACAACAATGTTATTTCACCCATTTTTGAGTAAGTTAGGAATCAGCGACTCCTTAAACCATTGCTCAAAATAGTCGGCGTTCATTTCGTCATGATTATTGCCATCGTTTTTTTTTGTGCCAAGAAAACAAGCGTGGCGTCAGATAGAAATCCACCATCATATCCTGCATGAACAATAACGAAACGTGGACCTCTTCGTGCAGGCGCCTTGAGGTCTCTGGTTAAACACTATATAGGAACATCTCTACGATTTTTTATGGTTTTATCAGAGCATAAATATGCAACAACGGGCGCAATCGATAAGAAATCCTTTGATCTTAGAAGGAAAGCCCACTCATGCGATATGTGGCGCGCGACTGATCGCGAGGCATCGCGCGCGTCAATACTTTAGATGTTTTTAAATGACTCAAAGCCCATAGTAAGTGCATAGTAATTCGTTTGACCCACGTTGACCCAAGTCTCATCTAAATAGATAACGTTACAATTTTGTTGGTTCTTAAATACTTGCCAATAAATTATGTCGCTTCATTCTAACATTATACTTTTACTACCACACTTCACATATTTAAAACCAATACTTTTCATCAATCTATACAGGATTTTTAAAGAGAACGTTGTAAATTCTCATTCCCTTGAATAATATTATAAATTGCATTCAAAGTTGGTGGAATGTTTAAAAAATCGTAGTGATCAATTCGTCTTAATGAGCTCTTAAAACCCTCATTATATCATTGTTTTGTTTCTCCTCTTTCTTGATGGTATAAATTGTTTTTGCATTGCCCCCACTAATTTTAGAAGCACGGCTTACTGCTGCGGTCACACTCAATTTATAGTTATTGACTGAATAACAGATCATATTTAAATCACAATTTAGTGTATCACAGATTTTTGCCTTCTATCTTTGAATTTTATACTTTTTTTCTTCAAGTCACAGTAGTATTAGCAAGTATTTAAATAATGCCAAAAGAATCACTTGTTTTTCTGATATCTATTTCAGTATAAGTGTGGTCTTCGAAATTTGTTTTTCAGAAAAATTGAAAATGTTTTTTTTTATCAAAAAATATATCACCTGTTTTTAAACAGCTAACTTTTGTTATTCTCAACATCATTTTACTATCTTAATACACGATTTACCTGACCAGAGCTTGGGCTTTCCTTCTCCTATCTAATAGATTTTGTCATCGGAAGAATTCTATGAGATAAAATAATATTATTATTCATACTGTATCACAAAAATATTTGTTTTTCTATTTTTAATACTTCACACTCACTCTCACACAGAACCAAATAACGAACTGTCACCAACTCCTCTTCTCTATTATACAGAAAGCTACCAAGCCGCCTGGTTTGGTTCTGCAGGTAGACTGCTTGCTTAATCAATTTAGTCGGTTGGTTTATTGGCTAAGAAATAACGCTATAGGTACCAGAATGTGGCCTGGAGCTTTTTTGCAGCAAAGGTTAATATTCTTAATGCAATATTATGATAAAAGTTTAAAAATCACATTTTTTTTTGCTTCCTTTCTGCAGAAAGCCACCCGATTACGCATCAAAAAAGACAAACGGTCCCTATATATGCAACCAAAAATACATTATTTAATTAGGTTTGTTCTAACAGCTCCATTCTGATGTGTCTCCGACTCGTGCTTGAATGCATTCGTAAACTAATCACTGCGCATGTCAGTCCGTTTATTCGTCCGTTGTTTTATCAGCGATTTGTACTTGTTGGAACGCAAAATGCAATGAAATTGGACAAACCAAACATATGTTTGGTAAATAGGTATTTTAAACATTATTCAAAATACAACATATTACATTTATTTAGCTGTCTCGAACTTTCTATGTAAATTTATAATTTTGAAACCTTAAGGATGTTTATTTTTATTAAAAATAACTACGTATTTTACATATAAACATGTACACAAGATAAAAACAAAAATTATTCATTTCAATTAAAAGAAGAAGAAACCCAAGTCATTCCAAGCTAACTTAAAATCCCAACAATTATAAACAAACAACACAAACGAGAAGAGACGTTCAAATACACATGTGCTGATAAATTGTACAAGCCATGAAGCTCTGATTGTTTTGACAATCCGCCGACTCATTTATGTACGAATCAGAAAATACATATAACGTTTTACTGACAGTTCATCGGATTATCCGTGGCTTTGTAGGAACGGACTGTTTTCAATGCGCATGCGTCTGATGTTCTTCTGATGATCAGATTCGCTGTTGGACCAAACCTATTGACTACTAAGGTTTGTTCCAACAACAATCTTGAAACCATACACAAACCAGTCCACAACTTATTGTCGACGACTAGTCCACGACCTGTCGATGATTGGGACTGAATTCGAAACTTGGTTGTGTTAGACACATGTGTCTGTTGTCAGACACACGGTCAATATCGTAAAAGTAAAAAAAGAAAAACAAATTTTGAATTTGTTAAATAAAACTCTTTAAAAGATTTATAAATTTTTATTATTCGATTGATTAGTACATTAACTTATTTTATTTTTTACTTTATCTAAGTCAGAATAATAGTCCTTTTCACTTTCTACACTCATTACTCATAAAATAATATACCATAAATAATGATAATGAATAAAAACCAAATTACGATCGAGACTACGATCGATGAGGCTATCAAAATGAATATAATCACGACATTTCCAGAGTTGGTCGTGATTTATTTACGAGCTCACTTTCGTTTTGCGCATGTCTTGACAATTCGATCCTATTCAGACCTAGGAACTGATTTGATAGTACAGAAACTGGTTTGTGATTAGGTTTGAGTATATTGAAACACTAAGTTTTTGTACAGTTTTGAGTCCAAGGTTTGTTGGTACATCAAATCTAGACTGCGTAGAATCCCGACAGTACGTAAACCGGTTTGCTATTGAGTTGGAACAAACTTCTACTGTCACAGCTATCGGAAAGACACCAACACAGTGTGCTGGTCTGCCATTAGAAATTAATTGCCTATGCCTGGCCATACTGCAATCTAGCCTAACTCCTCCTATATGATGTAACAAGGGTGGCTTTAAGGAGAGCTGAAATGGAATTAGAATGTGTTTATGCCAACGAGAGTCGGAATCTGATTGAATTCAAATCTACTAGTTCGACAGTCAAAACCATGTGCCTGAAGGTTCCAGGTTCGATCCCTGGCCGATGCATTCATTTTTTCTTTCCTTTAATTTTCAGCTTTTTAATTTTTTTTTGTTTGTTTTCATTTTAGGGTGTATTTTTCATAATTTTAAAAGAGAAATTCAAGATTATATATATTTCCAAAAATTAATGTTATTACTATTTGTTTTCGCGTCAATAACCGATATAATTTTAAAACTGATCAACTATTTTGTTTTAATAAATGTTTACATGATTATTTTTGTTTTAGTTCTTTTGTCAATTGGAATAAAGGAATCATCCAGGTTTAATAATGTTTGTACCGTAATGAATTTATTGACAATAATAACAGTGATTATAGCATGCGCATTTAAAGGTGAGTTTAAATGAAATTATTACTTTGTTCAATCATCAATCAATTTGATTTTTTATCCTCGTAATTTAAAAGCTCCAACTTTACTTTTCAAAATTTCGTTTAAGGCATTGAAAATTCGTTTAGTATTTTAGACATTTAAACATTTTCGTACGAACATAATAAATTTATTTTTCTTAGCTGATCTAAAAAATTGGCAGATTTCCCAAGACGAAATCCCTAAGGAATATCAAAAGCAAGCAGGAACCGGAGGTTTTCTACCGTTTGGAATTTCAGGAGTAATTGCAGGAGCCCCAAACTGCTTTTTTGGCTTCACAGGTTTTGATGCACCGGCAAATTGTAGTGAGGAGGCCAAACGTCCAAAGAGAGATATTCCTTTAGCGATTTTAACGTCATTATTCATAGTATTTGTAGTCTATTTCACGTTGGCTGTGGTATTATCATTGGCGTACCCGTATTATCTACAGGTTAGGTAAATATTTTTATTGTTTAAAAATGTATTCGGTTTATTTTCACCATATTTTATTATCTGATACTATTTCAGTTTTTGTGTGAAAAGTGGCATAGCAAAAATATTCCAATGGTGTCAACTGAGGATTTTTTCTTTTAATTATAGAAAAAAAGTGGGACCAAGTGCGTTGGCTAAATTTTCATAAACAACTTTATTTAGTATAATATTAATTTTGTCTGCTATTAGTCCAATTAAATAACGAAAAAAAGCCCCTTCGAGCTTACATTAATTTGTAATTGGATGAAACAAAAAGGACCTTGTGTATTTTGATGTGATCTTTCCGAAAAAAAAAAAAGAAAAAAAAGATGTAGCAGTTTTTCAATTTTTTTTAAATTAGGAAAAACCGGGTTTTCCAGAATTTTCCATTGTAAAAATGCTAATTATCTGGGCAAGTATCATTCCGATAGTGAAAATAAATGCACCATTCGAAAGAGGAGGCAAAAATAGTTCGGAAATTCATTGCACAGGTAGTTTTAATGGCGAATTTCTCGCCGCCAGAAGTGCTTTTACCAAAAAGTCGTTTTTTCGTTTTTTTGATCAGAACCATGGACATGAAATTTGCGATGAATTTGTGGCGAAATTATAAATGTTAGACATATGTGCCCATGAGAGAAGTTGCGTATTTTTTTGTTGGCTCTCAAATAAAATAAGTCCCACGGCGAAATCTGACATAATTTTTCGGGAATTCGCAGGAAACCAGAGGCGTATTTTTTTTTTAAATTTTTTTCCCATATGATTTTTTCCGGTTTTTCCGAAAATATCTAACAAAAAAATATATTTGAAAAAACTAACTTCGCCATCGAAAAGAGCACAAAAAAATACACAAATAGGTATACTTTAAAAATGTTAGGAAATTGATCCTAAGCCTGAGTGTAAGTTACAACTTGGTGATAAGCTTGCTTTTTGTTCGCTAATATCTGGTAATTCTATATTTTGCACAAAACTCAAGAAACGTCTTATAACAAGTCAGTAAAATACAACTTAATAAATTTTAAGCCTAATAAGTTTAGATATGTAAGAAATTTAAAAATCGAAAACGCAAAAAATCAAATTACAGTAATGTAGTGTATACACGAGTTTTGGATCCTGCGGAGCGCGTGTAATGGGACTTTTGTCGGGAGAATTCTACAACTTAGAAGAAACATACACACTTTAAACTTTGTATACACATTTAGAAGACATGAAATTTGGGTTTGTTTAATTTTCAGACAAAAAAACTAAAAATTGTCAATTTTAGGCAACTTTTCTCAAAAACCGTGTTTTTTGGTCGTCACTCAATGAACAGTGGTCAAAAAATTAGATAAAATATATTTGCAGAATTTTCCGTAATGTAATCGTATTCTAGATACAATAGAGTACTCAAAAAAAAAGTTTTGAGCCATTGGGTGAATTTTGGGCATTTTTGTGCCACTTCAAACTTTCGAAAAAAATAATTTTTTTTTTAAAGAAAAAAAAATTATTTAATTGTTTGATATCTTAGCCAATTATGGTTCGATGTAGGTGAAATTCACACACAAATAATATTTCACATTTAAGAGTAAGATTTGTAAGTGGCATTAAAAAAATTCAAATAGTTTGGCCGTTACAGGCAAACAATGATATTAGGACCGCGGTACACTTTGCCCTTCCGCCATATGCCCAATTTTGGGATTTCTCTTGCCCCCTTCTGGAAATCACTAGTCACATCCCTTATGTTCAAAACGCATTTGTGTTTTTTCAAATATCTTAATTTTTACCAATGTTATGAAGAATTTAGTGTTTGAACATTTAACAAATTCAATTTTTCGACCTTCGTCGCCTCAAAATACTAAACAAATTTCAATCGTCCATACCGCGAGAACGGTGCATTGGATCAAAATTTCTCAAGAGACATAAAAATTAGCATTTTTCCTAAGCTTTCAAATGTCGTAAACTTGACAAAATCGAAAATTTCTGCACTTTCGAAAGACTGCTACATTTTGTTTTGCCTTTTTTCGAAAAGATCACCTCAAAATACATAGAATCCATTTTGTTTCATCTAATTATAATTTAATGTAAGCTCAAAACCCGTAATTTAATTCGATTATATAGGAGTTATCCTCTTCTTAAGAAGAGATTAACCTGATTACAATATGTAACCTATTTTTCTATATCTGAACTCGTGTGGCCTGTGCTGCAGGTTGTGTTTCCAATATAATATTGCCAATTTTGCTCTTTATGTATGGACATGTCCATAATGTAGTGGGAAATATGATTTAGGGAAACCACGAAAACCTAAATCACGATACTGTACAATATTTTGTTTCGGTTTTGATTTTGATTGTCCAATTTAGTGTGCTGTTGAACCACGTAGGTATTATAAGTGTTGGGGTTTAGATCATTTAGCAAGTCAATGTACTAAAGCTGAACCTGCCTGTCCTAAATATTCTCTTAATTACGAGCTCAAAGATTGTAAATCTAATACCAATAAATGTAAAAATTTGTTGCAAATCACAATATCAATCATATAGTATGGGATAAAAATTGCCATTACCATAAACGAACTCTGACAATGTTTAAAAATAAAATTGTACCGTTATCGCCACAATAGTAAACACTGAAGGTTTCTGAATCTGGCTCTGACAATTGTTCACAAATCAGTTCTCAACTGTATTACCAAAATTTAAGAGAGTTAAGAACAAAAAGAACTCGTTTATTTAACAATGTTTCTGCTGCTACAAAGTATGCATGCTACTTATTTACAGAAAGTTGGTGTAACAGTACCATACATAATGCTGATCTATTTGATATTACAGTGATTGATGTTTATAGGGTTCATCGAAATTACGAGTTAACACAAACTTCAAGGGGAGGTAGAGTTCTTTGTGCCATTAAAAAAAAATTAGATGCGGTTCTGATTGATACATCTGATGTTTGTAGCTCTATTCCAGTAAACAAAATTGATTTTCTTCTTGTAAAAATTAAACCCCAATATCAGTTTACCTTTATTTTAATCATATACTTACCAACAGCTTGTTCTGCTGATGACTATAATGCTGTGTTCGAGGCGATAGCATTACTAAATATTCATTTAGTACTAGAAAATTTCAATGTGCCAGAGTATATTTCTCAAATAAACAATTCTAGTTACTCGCCTAGGTTAAACGTCGTACAATCATTTGCGATGAAGATGATTATCACCCCTCTTTGTGTATTGATGTCCTCATTAAAATTAGAGTAAAGAGCTTACAGTGTAAACCAGACTACGTGCAGTCTAATTAAAAAAAGCAGATTTTCCAAAATTATACAACGCAGTACTATATATCAATTGGACTTTTCTTGATTCTGCAAGCCGTGTAGATGAAAGTGTTCAACTATTGAACAATAAATTGTTTATTACCTCACATATCTGTTAAAAACCCTAACCTTAGGACCTACCCTCCTTGGTTCAATGGTCATATAATACGCATGATTTGTCAAAAGCAGTATAAAACACAATTTTTAGCGTTATTTATGAAAAAATCCATACTCTCTCAGACTTCTGGAAGTTTTGCAGTTTTCCTTACAAATGTCTGGTCAGAATACGCCCCTGGGATATCATATATTTTCCATGATGCTTACCTTCCAAACAAACGATACTATAAAACCTGTAATACTATAAAATAGTTTAAAATTTCAAATATAATAACTAAACAAAAACAAAATCACAGAAAAATAAAGGGAATACTTGCTGTAGGTAGATATACCTTACTTGTAACGTGTCACTATCCCAGAAAGAAGCTTTCGAATAAAATTTACGAATAGTGGAAGCTGATTTCATTTATTATAGTTATTATGGGCATAAATCGTCTTTGTGTTTGCCCGATCATACTTTAGAAACATTTGCACCATTTTTTGATCAATTTTCTTGTAATAAATATTCCTATGGTGGCACGGGAATTCTCTATCTACGCATATCTATACAAAACGTGTCACTAACAAAGAATCAAAAATTATTGTAAAATGTAACATGATTATTTTGTATATGATAATTCTTCCCTTTTAGAATGAAGAAGCACCTTTTCCACACGTATTTGCACAATTTGGTTGGATTTGGGTAAAGTGGATTGTTACTATTGGAGCTATTTTTGCACTGTCTGCTAGTGTTTTTGGTTCCATGTACATGGTACCTAGAGTATTTTACGCTATGGCAACTGATGGTCTGATATTTAAAATTTTTGGTTCCATTCATCCCAAAACAAAAACTCCTCAAATTGCAACAATATTTTCTGGAATTGTTTCAGGTAAAACAAATGTCTATTATTTTGTTTTTGACTCTTTGAATGGTAACACTGCTGTCCTAAACCCAATTAAATTGAGCTATATATATTTTAACTAGTTCAATTCAGTAAGAATGATTCAAAATTCGTTCAAACCGCACCTAACGTAATGCGGGACGAACTTTCAAGTTATTTTGACACTTTTCAATTGAATAGTGTAAAATAATTTAATAATTTATTTGTTTTTGTGTTGTAATGACTATATTTTCCTATATATAACTGGGAAGAACTAAATTAATGTATAAAATGCTGGTCTGCGCGGTGTAGATATTTCCGAATGCTACAAAATATAGGTAAATTCTTATCGAAGAAAGGACAAACTTAATTGAAGTTGCCCTATCCACTTTGAGGAAAGTAGTTGTGAGATTCCTCTTAAACACAGACGCAAGAAAAGGAAACTAAATTTCACCAGGTGCACGGGCCTCATTAAGCAAAGAAAATAAATCGGTATTGTAAAATTTTAGCAGATAAAACAGTAGTTTCCTATCTCAATACAACGGTTCTTTTGAAGCAATGTCATGCATAAGTAGGACACGAACATATAAGGTACATTTGGGTAATATGGCCCGGGCGAAAATATGGCCCACGGGATATTTTTGTGTTATGTAGCGCCATCTCTTTACGAGTAGTGAAAGTTTAGAAAGTTATATCTCTACAGAGACCATTACGACGTTGCAAACACGTGGTCATCTACTGCAGAAACCAGTTCGACGTGCCTTGCTGTTTTACCGGTGTTTTCTTATAAATTTATGCAATTTTTAATCGCGAATATTTCGAGTTACGTTAAAAAAAAGAGGTAGGTGTTTATTTACTTGTTGACTTTATAGTTACTTGTATTCCATTTCACTATTGGACTTAAAAAATTAAATTCCAATGTGACTACATAACCTTAAAATTGCAAAACGAGTCAAGCGGAAACATGGCCCAGATAGCGGGCCATAATTTCGCCTTGGGCCATATTTTCGTCCTATTCTTAATATGTTTTTTAGGTCATGGGTAAGGCAAATAAGGGTATTCGCGCCAACTGGAATGAAGATATGATGAGTGAAGCTCTATACCTGCTAAAGAAAGGTGTGTCACAGAAAGAAGTTGAAAGAAAATGTGGAATTTTCCGAACCACTCTTCGAAATCATTTAAAGAGTGGAAGTGCGAAAAGACGATTGGGCAGAAGGAACATATTGACGGAGGAAGAAGAACGGGAACTTGTCGGTCAGATTGTAAGACTAGCAGAGATTGGCGTACCTCTAGTACCAAAATCCTTAAGAAGAATTGTTTTTCGGTATTGTATTGATAACAATATACCCCATAAATTCAACACTGAAAAAGAAATGGTAGGATATGGTTGGTACAAATCATTTTTAAGAAGAAATAAAACCCTCTCACAGAGAAAGTCTCAAAATTTAAATCCCGCCCGAGCGCAAACATTAAACCCAGTCATTGCTAGAGATCACTTTACTAAACTAGATAATATTTTAACTGAATTAGGCATCAAGGAAACCCCAGAACGAATCTTCAATATTGACGAAAAGGGATGTCGATTGACTTTACATCACAATCAATCGGTGTTAGCTAAAAAGGGATCTCGCCGCGTTCATTTAGTGTCCAATGAGCATGCAGAGAACTGCACAGTAGTAGCTTGCATTAGCGCGTTGGTTCATGCTGTTCTTCCAATGATCCTGTTCAAAGGGCCTAGATTAAAGGAAGTCTTTAAGGAACATCTTTCACCTGGTTCCACAGTTGCCATGATGGAAAAAGGTAGCATGACTAGGGAGACATTTGTTCAGTGGCTACGTCATTTTTCTAAATATAAGCCAGCAGGGCAAGTTTCGTTAATCCTAGACGGCGCCTACTGTCATCTGGACCTTGCAGTCGTGGACACAGCAAACCAGTTTGATATTTCTTTGTACTGCCTCCCATCAAACACCACCCACGAATTCCAGCCATAAGACAAAGCAGTTTTTAGATCTTTCGAACATTATTGGAACGACAATCCGTCTGCCATTAGGAAATTAAAAAAAAAAAAATTTTTGGGAAAGTTTTGAGTCCAGTTTGGAAGCAGTGCATGAGTGTTTCCAATATACAAAGCGGATTTCGGTCCACAGGCACCTTTCCTTTTGATCCAACAGTAATTCCCGAAACAGCATTCGCACCATCGGAGTTGTCATTTAGAGAAATTAATCCGGAGCCAAACCACGATGCTAATTCTTCCGATGATGACCTTCCTCTAAATCTAATAGCTAAGAAATTAAAGCAAACAAGTAGCCCAAAAGCAGGATGTTCACATTGTACCGAACTATTAGAGAAACAATCAGCTTTATAAAATCCCAAAATAAACATTTGAGATGTCAAAATAATCAAGCCTACCAACCAAGAAAATTGCACAACTTTTACCAACTCCGGACTTTATTATAAAGAGACAAACAACTCCAAGGAGAAAGGAAATGAATTATAAAGCTCAAGTGCTAAAAAGAGATCTATTTTCCAAAAAAGTTTCATCTGGTTTGACAAAAAACAAACTTCAAACAACTGCTAAGCACTCGGCTAAGCAGGAAAACATATCAGACATCTGCAACTGGATGTGTACAGTATGTAACGTGGCTCGTGTTGAGGATATGCGACAGTGCTTAATATGTCACACGTGAATACAGACTGTGTTGGACTGACAGCAGACGATACAGAATCATTTATATGTCCTTCCTGTACTCCGTAAACTCGGGCCATAGTTTCGTCCTTCTGTTTCAATGTGGGCCTTAATAGCCTTAAATGCAAGTATTAGAAATTAAAAATTTAAAAAAACCGACTTCAAAAACGTGCAGATGCCGTCACCACATCTTAACCAAATTTATGTGGGACCACCCCTGAGGTATCCCCTTACTAACAAAAAAGAATCATATAAATCGGACAAGGTTGTAAAGCATTATCGCTAAACATACAAAAAAATGAAGAGTTTGAGGATTTTCTCACGGACCCAATTATTATATTTTAACCAAATTTATAAGGGACCACCCCTAAAGTACCCCCTTTCTAACAAAAAAAGAATTATTGAAATCGGACACCGTGTTGATGAATTATCGCTGAACATACATAAAAAAAAATATCGCGACGAATTGAGAACCTCCTCCTTTTTTGAAGTCGGTTAATATGGCCCACTTTTGCAGTTTTTTAAGAAACCAGATTAAATTTAAAAAGAGTGAGTTGTTGCATTTAGAATCTTTTGTTTGAGTTTGTTGTTTGACTAGTTATTTTTTTATGATAAAATGATTTTTACAATAAATATGTTTTTTGTTCTATAAAAAATTGCAAATGGGCCATATTACCCCAAGGTACCTTATAAGAATAAGATAAATTAACAAAATAATTGGTTTTGAGTATTTTCGAAGTAAACTTGACAAAAAATGTTTAAATTTACCAAATAAAAAGTAATTTTTTTGTGTATTTATTTTTTATAAATAAATAATTTGTTTCTGCACACTTATTTTTATTTCACATAATAAGAAAAGAGATTGCAAGAGAACTACCACGCCTAGAAAGTACAAATTTAAGTGAAACTTGTATTTTTAGTCTATATTTTTTACTTATCTTATGGCCAGGTTATGGATTTTGTCACAAAATACCTATAATTTATGGGAAAAATTAATATTTTTATTACTATTATTTACCTTAAACGTTCATATTTGTAAACGAATACATTACAAAATAACCAATAAAGCTTAAGTATTTGCATAAAATTTAAAATTGACAAAATATCCAATTTTAAACACTATCTCCCATTTAATGCTTATCATTATGTCCCACGTGACGTCACCGTCAGTGAGCTGCATGCGCAGGAACATACCGAGTTCGTGTAAGAAGGAAAGCCCACTCATGCGACACGTCGCGCGCGATTGATCGCGAGGCATCGCGCGCGGCAATACTTTAGATGTTTTTAAATGACTCAAAGCCCATTAACGCGGTTCTGTCGCGTGGTCGCACGCGGCTGAAAATTATAAATGACAATCCCGCGATTTTCCTGCCGCACGCGACCAGCTTTATCATGGATTCATATGGAGCATCACTCATACAAACGTCAAGTCGCGTTCGAAACGCCAGTTCAGTTTAGAGTTGGAGTTTCCTGTTAACTTTTCGATAGTTCCAGTAAAAAAATGTCCGGCAGTTGTATTGATATAGATGAATTTATATCCGATATTCAAGACCGACCTCAAATATCGAACAGTTAATTGAAATAAAATAGCGAAAAAAATATTTGTTGGGAATCTGCGCTAGCAGTTCGTCAAATGCCACTAGTCTCATTCTGAAATATTTTAAGAACTTATCTTCGTGTTGACGTAAATCCTTATGTAATAAATTAAATGCGCCTTTTACATAAGGGTCTATAAATAATGGATGAACCCAGTACCTACGTCGTTTCAATTTTTGCCGCCGACGAACAAAATAAAACAACACCGTTACTACTTCTTCCACCTCTATTTTGATACTGAACGGCTGTGTCGCTGCTTGTCGTCTGTTAAAAATCGCACCTAAAAAATGGCATGCGGCAGGTCGCGCGCGACATGTCGCGTGAGTAGGCTTTCACTCTATCGTGAATGAACCTTCTTTTAAGGCTAACACGAATAATTATTCATTTGACATAACGTCACATTGACATTTTTTTATGCTACATACATATTTTTTAAAATATAACATTTTCTCTTCGTAAATAAAGAAACAACAATACACATTCATCTTTATAAGTGAATTAAAAAACACAGCTTAGAAACAGATCTTCTACATACTTGTTCGGAAACCTCTGCTATTCCACTATCGATCTTCATCCTCCTATTCAAAAATATCTCGCATACTATAGGATATTGTGACTCATTGACTCTATTTGGTCAATCCATTTATCACTACCTTATTTCATTTAGGTTTCATAGTCAGACGAAAAGTTTTAATTTCTTCGAAAGCGGTATTTCGTTCAGGTGACT